TAAATACATGTCATTGGCACAAAAGAAAGGATGCCAACAGATAACCTAGAGCATGGGGACAAACAGATATAAGATAAAAGCACAAAATAAGATATCTAAACCCAGCTTTATTAGTTATTACATTGATGTAATGGACTAAATTCTTCAATTAAAAGATAAATAGGAAAATATCCCATAATTTTTGTAATGTAAACTTACAAAGGACACATCAAAAATATGAGAATTCTGAAAGGTTTTTAAATTCTTAAGAATGCAAAATGATAGAAAATACGTTATTCAGACACTAACCAAGAAAATAATATTGAAGTAGTAATACTACTACTCAGTAATAAAGAATTTAAGACAAAATCATTCATAGATATAGTCATTTTAAAGTGATAGAATATTTCATTCCTTAGAATATCTCACAATTTTAAAATTTACATGTTCTTATTAACATAGCCTCAGAATATATAAAACAAAAATTGTCAGAGAAACAATAAACAAATCAACAATCATAATGGGAAAATTTGACACATCTTTAAAAGGAATCAATGCTCAAAATTTAGACTACACAGTAAATCAGTTTGAAATGTGTATCTAAAACATTGCATCCGACAAACTACAGAATACATTCTTTTGAAGCATTCACAGAACATTTTCAAAAATTGACCATATAGCAGAACGTGAAGGCTGTCTTGACAAATATATAAAGAGAGAAATTATTTAGAGTATGTTCTCTGATCTTAATTCAAATAACCAAAAATATCAGTATAAGTGTATGTTATCTATAATAATATCACAATTTAAAATAGAACAAATAATAAAATTAGGAATAACCAAAACGTAGAAAATCCCCATACATTTGAAAGTGGTGGTCACAGTCAAGGCACATGAGTAGGAGGTGAGAGGTAAAAAGGACACTTTCTTGGTTTGCCGTCTGTCCCAGGAATTGTTTGAATCTTATTTAAAGTGAAGATATTCATGTAGTCCTTATGCGCTAGAAAAAGCTATTTGCTATTGCAGCGAATTTGATTCCTACTCTTTCCCCAACCATGCTTGATACATTCTTAATCCAGGAGGAGGATCTTTTTAAGAAGACAATTTTTATTTTTAACCAGAACAGGTTTAAGTTGGAAGTAGATTTGGGTACGCTGTAATGACATCACCTGTAGTTGTACACAGAGTTATCTCGGGCTGTTCGGGTCCCGCATCGCTGCTTTTGGGCAGAGAACGGGAAATTCAGGAAGGGGCTGTACTGCTTTAAGTGAAGCAGGTGTCACAGACCTCAGCTGGAGTCATTTCCTGCCCGGTGATAAAGTCCACCTGGGCCTGCGGCTTGGCTTGGTCATTACCGAGGGCCAGCAGGGGCACCTCCAGATCAGCATGGTAAGTGGCTGGGGTCCTTGGACGTGGTTATCAGTGTTGCTGTGGTTTTGTAGCAAATTTTACTAACTGAATTTGGCCCTCTTCCCTGCCAAACTATCCTTAATACATTCTTAGTACAAGAGAAATACTTTTTAAGGAGACATTTGTTTCTTTTGGTAACTGTGAGGCAGACTTGAAGCTCTGGTCTGTTCACCTGTAGTTTTGCTGCTTTTAGGAAAAGCTTAGTGAATTTGCAGTTTGTTCCCTGCTTTTAACCGAAGTAGTGAAACAGGAACCCTTCCTTCCTTTAGTTCTACACTTGTTTTGGACCTGCTGTGCTGATTTTTCTGTAGAAATCAATTGCTCCACTTTTAGTTATGCGTTTAGAGTTTCTGGGGACTTCAGACCCAGGTCATCATGGCTAGACTCATAAATGCACAACAGGGTAAAGTGCATGGCCATCTCCTCATCCTCTCTTGAGTTTCGTTCTTGGGGGACAACAATGAACATAGTTACTTACAGTAATTCCTGTTTGGGGATCATCTCTTAAGATCCACTCTCCCTTTAATGTCTTATGTGCTAGTTCCCATAGTTTTTGGTGTCTTAGAATTTTAAATTCTTAAATGGAAGCAGCCTTCATACTGCTTTCTTATCTGATATTCTCACTCCCTTAGACTCTTTCTCTCCAACATTTTAAGGATATTGAAGTTATTTTGCTCTTAAAAATCATGCCTTCCTACATGAGGGATCCCTGCAGTCATGGAAACATTCTGTTGCTTGACTAAATTTCATTCTGGGGATGATATTTTTCAGTATCACCTGGCAAGATACTAACGGGGTGGAAAATGGGTACGGGGTACATGAGATCTTCATTCTTTCTTAAAACCGTGTATGAATCTACTGCTTATCTTTATTTCAAAATAAAAAGTTAATTAGAAAACTGTGCCTTCCTAGTAATTTAGATAAACATTGTGGCAGCTGATGTGCTGTGATTGATAATATCAATATTGAATGGGCTGTGATTGATAATATCAATATAATATCAATATTGAATGGGCAGTTTACAATTATTTTATAGTGTGGCGAATGTTTTATTATTTATTTATTTTTTAAAAAGATTTTATTTATTTATTTGACAGAGAGCGAGATCTCAGGTAGGCTGAGGGTGGGGGGGGAAAGCAGGCTCCCTTCTGAGCAGAGAGCCTGATATGGGGCTTGATCCCAGGACCCTGAGATCATGACCTGAGCCTAGAGCAGAGGCTTTACCCACGGGGCAACCCAGGCACCCCTAGTGTGGCTAATGTTTTAACAGATAGTTTGGAAAGGAGGGATTGGCTAAGAGAAGAAGGTGAAAATAGCCTTCTGTGCCCTGGGACACAGTTAAGTCATAAACTCAGCTGCTTCTCAAACTGGGAAGGGCGTGACTTGTCCTTCTTGAGCCAAGTGTTCCTGTCAAGTTTGAAAAGGACCATACCATGCCTATGTCTGAACCCCTTGGGTAACAGACTGTGTAAACAGCAGCAACTGCTTTTCCATGTTGGTGATTATTTTTTCTCTGGGTACTTGGAGCAGATGCATGTGCACCTGCCATAGCCTGGGTGGTAAGCTGGGGGTGCTGTGAGAGAAATTGACTTGTAAGTGGCTCAAAAGATGGGGAAACCATGAAATGAACCCCCCGTTCAGGATTTTTACCTAAGTCTAGGGAGTTTTGATCTGATTACAATAGCTGTACTGTACTGAGATCGTTTGCAGTCCAGCAGGTGTGGGAGGAAGGAAGCCGTGCTTTGCAGACAAGCATGTTAGAAGCTCGTTTATGATGGAGCATGCTGTTTGATTTTTTCTGTGCTGGACAGAAGTTGGGATCCTGGGTGAGGTGCTTCCTGAATTGAGTTCACAGACTTTGTCGTGAGAGACCCGTAGTTGCATGGAGAAGGCATGGGGCGGGGGGAGTTCTACTCAAGTAGTGAACTTGAATTCCTCATAAAGCAGAGAGGGCTGTTAGTCCTTGTGAATTGAGGAGACAGAGTACAAGGGCGTGATGCGGTGGAGCAGGAACAGAGTCCAGGTCGGATGGCAGGGCTGTGACTGGCCAGAGCTCCCTCCCTCCCTGGACTAGTGGTCTTTTCGTGGTTGATCTCAGACCTTGTCCAGCGGAAGAACACCCTGGACAAGGGCAGAGCTGCTGATCGGCTTACCAGGCTAACACCTGGAAGGGGAGCCTATGAGTCCTCCTGCACAGACCTGTCCCATGCCCACTGGCAATCAAAACCCCACAGCATTCAAATGTGTGAATGCTGCCCTTGTGGTTTTTCTGGGTCTTTTCTTTCCTTCTCTTAGATGAGTACATATTCGTGTCTGTTTAAATGACCAAAACAGTTGTTGGCCTTTAAAAAGAAGGATGTGAATGGTGATTTAAACGTGGGATGGGGGAATGGAGGCTGATGAGGGTGAGGGACAACACTGGAGTCCGAACAAGGAAAAAATATTCCCTGCCCAGATATAAAGATAGTTAATATTTGATGCATTTTAAGGTTCTTTTTCTCTGCTTATTTTTTAATGTATTTGATGTCATACTTTATATACAGTTATACAACTTATATGCCTCTTACCTCCGTTTTATCATAAGCTTTTCCCATGTCATAAAATTTGGGGGGTAAACTTTTACGGGTTGCATAACTTTTCTTCAAATGCCCAACAATAAATGAATGTAGATTGGTTCTTGATTCTCACTCTTATAAATAATACTGTGAATTCCCTTGTGCCTAAATCCTTGTGTTTTTCAATTTTTTAAAAAATAATTCATTTATTATTAATTTTAATAATTCATTTGTGTATGTCATCTGCCTATTTCTCTACTGGCTATCTCAAGTGTTTGTTTGCGTTTTCAAAGATTTTATTTTTAAATAAATTCTTCATCCAACATGAAGTTGAACTTACAACCCTGAGATCAACAGTCACTCTACCGACTGAGCCAGCCAGATGCTCTGCAAGTTTTTTTTTTTAATTAATGTATGTAAAATTGCCCTATTGATAGCCCTTAATATGAAGAACTACATATCAGTCATTTTTTTATAAACCATTATTCTTGTTTGCTTATTGCAGTATTGAGTTTTTACATTTTTGGGTTGTGAAATCTATTACATGTTTCCTTGGTAAATTTTGCTGAGAACATCCTTTCTTCTTTAGAACACATATGCATAGTAAATATAAAACCTCAAGATGTGAAAAAGTAACATCTTTAAGTGCAATGGGTTTTAATATAGGTCAAGGTTATACATTGATTTTTGGTTTTATTCCTTTCCAGTAACTAGCTAAGATTTTTCTGGGTAAGGCAGCTTGATTTTATACATGTATAATATATTATGGATATATATTCTTAACTCACATGCTTAGCCTGTTATTCAGTAAGTCCTTAAATTATGATGCTGAAAGAAATCTTTCAGTAAAATGGGAGTCCTTGGTTCATTTGTTCTGAAAGTGTACCTGTGCCCTGGGTTTTGGTTTCCATGAGACACTTAATTAGCCTTATCATACATTTCTCTCCTTGGCTTCTGCAAGCTTGGTTTCTGTTGATTGTGAGCAGCATTACTGAGTGACCAAGCTCATGTGATCTTCAAGGGCTGTTGGTTCTCACCTCCTACGGCTTGTTTCAGAGGGAGTGCCTTTCCATCCACATTGGCCAAGCTGGCGTCCAGATTGGGGATGCTTGCTGGGAACTCTATTGCCTGGAACATGGAATCCAGCCAGATGGCGCTGTTCTCAGTAGTAGAAAGGATCAGCTGGAAAGTGGGAACATGGAGCACATGGATGCATCTTTCAATACCTTCTTTTGTGAGACGAGAGCTGGGAAGCACGTGCCCAGAGCACTCCTCATGGATCTGGATCCCGCTGTTATAGGTAATGTAAGGCTTGCATTCAACTGTACATAACCAGGTCCGCACTCCAAGCAAAAAAAATCCAGTACCAGAGATGGGCTCACCAGATTGTGTGAATCTGTCTGAATAGGATCATGGGGATATTTTTTAGATCTAGAAGTTTGTTTGTGACCACTTAAGGCGATCGGCATGAAACCTACCCAAAGGGAGTACTTGCTTAGCCTTCTTTCTCTGTGTGATGAAACAAATTCAAACCTTTTTAGTTTCTCCACACGTCTGTTGTTGCAGAAGATTAAGTCTTTTCTTGGATTTGAGAGCCAGTTGCTAGAAGATTCCAACAAAGAATCTGAAATTTGGCATTATCTGAACATGATTCTAAAGAGGCAAGGAATCAGAGAAGTCTTAACTTTGAGAAATCAGTATAATTTTATGATTATTAATAGCAGACTTTGTAGTATCTTGTCCAGAAACATGGCATAGCAGCTCGGTTCCAAGAGCAAGCCTCACCTGAGCACAAGGCAGAAGCCCGTGGCATTTTTGTAATCTAGCCTCAGAAGTCCCAGTGTGTCACTGTTGCTGTCTGATGGCTTGAAACCATTACAGAGATCCACCCAGGGGAGGAATAGTGGACCTCACCTCTTGATGTGGCAAGAGCGAGGTTCCAGAAGCACACAAGAAATGGAAAACATTCTTGTGGCCATCTTCGGAGATTGCAATCTGTACACAGTGGATTGGATTTCATTTCCTTATCGGAACCAGGTCAGATCAGGTAACTGATGGCAGAAGTAGATCAATGACCAAGGGAAGGAAAAGATGGAGTATTAGTACGAGGTAAGAACTGCCTCAGCCAGGATTCCTATGTGCAGTTTCCGTGTTTGCTGGATGTGAAAGGATGAAAAATAAGGAAACACTGGTGGCTTCAGGAACTGGTGAGATTCGCATGGAGGCTAGGAGAGGCAGTTATGTTGTCTTCCGACTTGAGCTCTAAGTGCCTGAAGAGAATATCTGAATTTTTGTTTCAGACAAACGGGGATTTGCAGCTGTGAGCTTTAGCTAGAGTCTCGTATCTAGAAAGCCGGGCAGAGTAGAATATGTCCCCAGAGGACTTTGGTGAATGTAGCTAAAGAAGCAGTGTGAGAGGCCACATCTCAGTGTCCGGAATATTGTGGCAGGCGTTTTAACTTGCGCCTGTCTGAGGATGCCAGGCAAATAGGAGGCTGAGGATCTGGAATTAGAAGCTAATAAGCATGTCAGGGCAGAGATACATGGCAGGAAGAAACCAGAAGAAATTCCCCAATCCTCTAGAAAACAGCATAGAGAGAGGGCAGTTTTGAGGATCTGGAACTGGCCCAAACAGAGAGGCATAAGCTCCAGGTTTTAGGAGAAGGCACTGTTTTTTCCTTGTTCTATTCAGCAAATAAGAGAGCCTCATGCGTGCAAGGCACTATTCTTGACATTGGAGGTGTATATACTCTGAGTCTTCATGGACCCTCCATTCTGGTGGGAGGCCTGATGGTCATCCGTGGCATGGAGAAGAATAAAGCAGGGCCACAGGGATAGGGAACATTGTGTGAGTGGTGGGAGGTGCTTTTTTCCTAAGGGATGCCGAGGAAGGCCTTGTAGAGAGGGTGACATGTAGGGATCTGAAGGAAGTGAGGACATGAACCTTACCTCTCTGGAAGAGACCAGAAAGGACTTTGTGCACAAAGTGATACTCCATCTGAGTCTCGAAGGCTGGGTAAGAGCTGTTTAACAGTTCACAGGTGAGAGAGGATGGAAAACATATTGTTTCAGCTTGAAAAGGGAGAAGATGTTGATATAGCAGACTCACAGGAGACGTGAACTGGAGTGGAGGCCGGCTATGGGATTTCTTTGAATAATTTGTGTGGTGTGAACCTCATAACAAATAGGGGGCCAATAAAGATTTTAGAGCAAGGAAAAGACAGATTGAGAATTATACTTCAGTAATGTTAATCACAGAGATTTATTCATTAATGTATACAACATTTCTTTAGCACCTGCTATGTGCCAGGTACTAATCTAGAAAGAGAGTAGACTGGAGAAAGTTACAAGGTTTTTGTGATGTATGGACGGAGAATGGAGAAGAAAACACAGATTTGAGAGACTTCCATCTAAAACAAGAGCAACAGATTATGTGTCAGTGAATGTTCTAGAGAGAATTCAGAGATGGCAGCCAGATTTCACTATTTGAATAATGAGATTGATAAATGAGGTAGGAATTGCAGAGGGGGGTCCTAGGTGTGTGGGAGTAGGTAAGTTCCATTTGCACGTGAAGAGGCTGGTCCTGGTAAAAGATGGGGAACCAGAGGTGTTCAGTGAGAAGTTATCCTACAGAGACAAAACCCAAAAGCTGTGGTAGTAGCTGGTCTCGTTCAAAGCCAGCCCAAATGGTTCTAGAATGGAGGAAAGGTGAGTTTTGATTGTGTTTATGGAGTAGAATTCTACTGAAGATATTTGTAGGCAGAACAAGCAGAGAGGGAGGGGAGGGAGGGTTCAGAGTGAGTGAGTGAGGGGACCCAAAGCATGGAGAGAGTGGGTCATGCCTCTCCTTCTCTGAGGTAGAGACTGAGGATTTTGTGTCAAGGAGGAAGGTGCTCATTGAGGAGTTCTGTGATCAGAATAACGGGGTGATACTGTGTGAGAACTCAGAGAAAGGACAAGAGGTATAATACACATTTGCAGAAGAGGACAGAGGGTCAAGGGAAGTGTGAAGGGTGTGCTGAGTGTGGGCCTGAAGGGGCAGAGAGCACAGCTGGGATGGATGGTGCCCATGATATGTGGACAGGGTGAGCAGGGATGTGGGCCTGGCGGCGAGCGTATGCTTCTAATCACAGGGCCAGGCTGTGCGAGCAGACCGGTGAAGCTAGCGCGAAGGGAGGAGGGGTGGAAGACGAAAATGCTGGGAGCTCCAGGTTGAGGTGAGAAAGAATCCAGTATCATTCAGTGAATTCAATGAACATTCATTCCGGCTAGGTAGAGTTGAGCGTAGAGAGGAACAAATGTCCATCCCTTCCCTCCTATTGTCCTAGTGAGTTCAGACCATTTTAACAAAATATTATAGACTGGAGGCTTAAACTACGGAAATTTATTTCTCATTGTCTGGAGGCAGGAGTCCAAGACCAGCGTGGCAGCCTGGCTGGTGTCCGATGAGCGCTCTCTTCCCGATTTGCAGACAGCTGCCATCTCACCGTGTCCTCACATCTGGCCCCTTGCAAGGGCACTAACCCCATTCACCCGGGCCCCTCCCTGGCCCTGCCACCTCCCAAAGGCCCCACCTCCTAACACCCTCACACTGCGGGAGGCCTCAATGTGTGACACCTGGGGAGACACGAACATTCAGTCCGCAGTAGCCACTGTTTATTAGCAAGGAACCACACAGGTATTTTCCTATAATCCTTCCAACATCCTGTGAGCTTTAGCTAGAGTCTAGGAAACCTTGTTGCCATTTTCTGTTAACAGATGAAGAAGCTGAGTCTTGGGCAGGTCATGGAACTGGCCTTAGGTTGTTGAACTGTTGAGGGGAGCACTGGGTTTGACCCTAGGTCTGCCAACTAATAAAAAGCCATTCTCTTCTAACAAAAAAGCAGCATAAACTAGTGGAGAAGAAAATGTAAGTGGTCGTAGCAACACCAACACACGTGTTCACTTGAGACGTATGAAATTGTCCATGGTTGGTTATTTCTTACCTAAAAATTGCCAACATCCTTCAATGCAACCTAATAACAATAGAAATGTCCATGAGATGCAGAGGTATCCCCAGGAAGGAGTGAGCAGCTGGGGAGCCATCAAACTTCTTCAGCCGAGGGGGCAGCATAGGCAGCTTCCCAGAGGCGTGGAGGAGCGTGCACCTTGAACAGGAACAGGGTGTGGGTAGGAGAGTGATGGGGACAGGAATCTGGAAAGACTGTTGAGCTGGGTCTTGGGGGAGCAGGGGGTAGTAAGGAAGTTTGGTTGGAGAAAGGATTTCGCAACTTTAAGATTTTGGATGGGGGGGGGACAGTTGTGAGTGATTTCAAGTGGAATGGGGCTAATAGCATTGGAAGTCAGGAAGCAAGGGATTGCCAAATAGTCATGTTTAAAAACCACTGAATGCCCTGAGGGCGCTGGTTAAGGATGCTGGGTCAGATGCTCATGTCACTCAGGAAAGTAGAAAAAGTGCCAGGAAGTGAGAGTGGACAGCTTAGGTAGTAGTGCTACTGGTAGCACTAAATGGTAGTGCTGTAATCACTGATCTCCAAGAGTGGTTTTTACCGAAAGAATTTATGAATGACCCTCAAGATCTCCACTGAACATTGACATGAAGAAGCAGGCTTCCAAAATTCTAGAAATTCCCTTCTTTGCCTGAACTCAGCCTTATAGCTATAAGTGAGAAGCAAATAGTCCACCCAGAATTATTTGCCCACTTACATCTTGTTTATAAATATATCTTTTAAAGCTCTTCACTTTGGTGGGTTTTTTGATTTGTCTTTTGGTTACTTTTTTGGTGTGTGTATGTTACTTAAGAGTCCTTTAAATCAGTTTTAGTAAATTTAAACATTTGGTGGTATGCAAAATTGTGGTTAGAAATTCATGGTCAAAGGGGCTCCTGGGTGGCTCAGTCTGCCTTTGGCTCAGGTCACGATCCCGTGGTCCTGGGATCAAGCCCCGCATTGGGCTCCCTGCTCAGTGGCAAGCCTGCTTCTCCCTCTCCTGTTCCCCCTGCTTGTGTTCCCTTGCTCGCTGTGTCTCTCTCTGTCAAGTAAATAAATAAAATCTTTAAAAAAAAAGAAAAAAAGAAAATCGTGGTTATGGGCAGGAGAGAACTGAGAGAGCCATCTCGTTCTTAGAAATGGAGCGTGTTTCCTCTCAGGCAGTGAGCTTCTAGGGCTATCTGTAGGTATCTGGTGATGAGTCAATACAGCATTAGCATAAGTACGTGTCGTGAAGCCAATTGTGTCATTATTATTTATAATAATTGTTGTCATATGGGCCATGCATTGTGCTCTACGATCTCACGTAATCCTCATAGGAGCTCAAGGGGGTAGGTCTTAACATTATCTTTATATGTGAGGTGAGGTCACTGGGATTTAAGGATGCTAAGGAACTGCTGGAAAGCCAAGTGATGAAGGAAACCGTGAACTTGGGAAACGGATTCTCAGATACGTGCTCTTGAATGCTGCACAGCATGGCATCCTGCCGTAAGCTGGACAACATTCCCAGAGGCTGCTTGGCCCTCAAACACCGATGCGTAATTCTGTAGGAATTGGGCTATCTGGGTAATTCTCGGCCTGGGGAGCGGGACCTGGGCCTGAGGACGTGTGTTTGGTATTTTCTCAAGCTGAGCAGGTTTTTAAAAGGAGGAAAACCAGGCAGGAGTTGCCCTTGGCTGTGTTGAAGACTGCCAACGTGTTAACCCCAATTTCCCTGCTACTTGTGGTTTTATCAACTGCATTCGAGTTGGGGAAGGCATTTGAGCTCATCGCACCTTCTTTGTTAAAGCCTCTTTTAAAGTGGACTACTAATAATTTAGATCAGTTTGCTTTTTCCTGCTTTTTCTGGCACTCAGTTGCCGATTTGTAGATAGAAATACTGGCCTTAGAATGCCAGAGCATCACAGAGTGTGTGATGGGTTTGAAGAGTTTCTCCTAAAAATGTGTCCACCTACAACCTCAGAATATGCCTTTATTTGGAAATAAGGTCTTTGCCACTGATGTTCTAAGTTGAGGTCCTACAGGATTGGTGTTGGCCATAACGCCAAGGGTCTGTGTCCTTATGAGAGGAAGAGGGGACCTAGTTTGGGGGAGTGGGCATGCGTGATGGAGGTAGGCACAAGTGTGTGGCCCCAAGCCGAGGACCAGCTTCTCCCTGAGACCTGCGGCAGGAACCAGCCCTGCCAACACCTTCACTTTGGACTTCTGGACTCCTGAACTGTGAGAAAAAACATTTCTCTTATTTTCAGCCACCAGGTTTGTTGTAATTTGTTACAGCAGCTGTAAGAAACTAACAAAGGGTCTACATTGGGAAAATGTACTTTCCATTTGTCTGGAAGTAATGATACTGTTCTAGACTGAGGAAGGCCAGCTCGGCAGTTGAAAACCCTTTCTTTACCGTGACACTGGGGAAATCACCATTGGGTTGGCAGTTGAACTGGTAAAGGGTTAGCCGTCAAATGGAGGGAGCCTGCTGACCTCATGTCCCCTCTGCAGATGGGATTCGAGCCAGCCAGCGCCGCTCACTTTTCCACCCAGAGCAGCTCGTCAGTGGGAAGGAAGACGCCGCAAACAACTATGCCCGCGGTCGCTACTCTGTGGGGTCCGAGATCATCGACCTTGTGCTCGAGAGGATCCGAAAGCTGGCAAGTGGCCCCTTTCTGCCTAGTGGGGGCCTGTACCTGAGTGCCTGGGATCCGTCTTCCATACAACACCCAGGTCACCGCCCCCGGCCTCTCCCGCAGACACTCAAGGCTGGGAAGCACCTTGGTGTAGGATTGGATGACACTTCGTGATGTAGGATGCATGGAAGAAACCTTTTAGCTTACTGCAGCCTCCTCTTCTCTTTCCTTTTAGATCTATGAAGAAAGACTAGTTTTTTCCACTGCTTTATTGAGATATTGCGCAATAATGGCCACAGTGCAGTTAGTGTGTGTATGTGTGTGTGTGTGTTGACAACGTTTAAAATCCACTCTCTTGGCAACTTTGAAGCCTACAGAATTGCTAACCAGAGCCACGGTGCTGTCTATTAGCTCCCCAGAATGGACTCATCTGCTAGCTGGATGTCTGTGTCCTTCAACGTCTCCCAGTTTCCCCCACCCACAGCTCCCACAAGATACTGTGCTACTTTCTGTTCTTATGAGTTGGACATTTTTTGATTCCACCTATATGAATGGGATGATACAGTATTTGTCCTGTTGTGTCTGACTTATCTCTCTTGGCCTAATGGCCTTAAGGTCCCTCCATGCTGTGACAGAGGGCAGGGTGTCCTTCTTTGTAATGACTAGCCCCCCTCTACTCTCGCGTCTGCCCACTCATCATGGCTCACTTTCTCACAGACTTCCAAAGCATCCTGACACCTGTCCTTTTCCTGTAGTCTCCGTTATTTGTGAAGTTAACAGGTGACACATCCTACCCGGAGATTAGTTACTCTAGTTCCTGACCTTGAACTCTTCTTTACAGGCCTGCATCTGGGGAATCCTTTGTCTAGTACACATATTGGTGTCTGGCATACTCCTTAATCAAATGATGCCTTTTACACCTGCATAGTAGACTGGATGTACGGGTGAGAGGTACTTCATCTCCTGGGGGAAGGGGGGAGGCATAGGTTGCTTCAATATTTGGCCATTTTGTTTGTTACTGAGAAAGACTGAGCTATAGCTCACAAGCTGATACATTTGTGAAGGGCAGCTAAAGACAGTTGAATATTTATGCTTCGTTTATAGTGAAATTCTAAAGTGCTTCCCCTACCCTGCAGGTAACCACTCACGTGTGTTACTGGGGAACTAATAAGGGCACACTCGTCCTTTCTGAAAGTTTTGTCTGGGGAAAATTCTTGTCGCCCCACTGCCACTGCGGGGCTCATGTGGCCCAGGTCTCACCTCTCCTTTGCTTCCCCAGGCAGAGCAGTGCAGTGGACTTCAGGGATTTTTGATTTTCCGAAGCTTTGGAGGAGGCACTGGATCAGGATTTACATCTCTCTTAATGGAGCAGCTCTCGATAGAATACAACAGGAAGACGAAATTGGAGTTCTCTGTCTATCCAGCCCCCCGGATCTCCACCGCTGTTGTGGAGCCTTACAACTCCGTCCTCACCACGCACACCACCCTGGAACACTCAGACTGCACATTCATGGTGGACAACGAGGCCATCTATGACATCTGCCACCATAAACTCGGTGTCGAGCGTCCCTCTTACGCCAGCATTAATAGGCTGATAGGCCAGGCGGTATCTTGCATTACTGCTTCTCTCCGGTTTGAGGGGCCCTTGAATGTGGACCTCATTGAATTCCAGACCAACCTTGTCCCTTATCCAAGAATACATTTCCCCATGACAACCTTGGCCCCCATCATCTCTGCTGACCACGCCTACCATGAGGAGCTCTCTGTGTCCGACATCACTGCTGCTTGCTTTGACTTCTCCAATCAGCTGGTCAAGTGTGACCCTCGGCTGGGGAAGTACATGGCCTGCTGCCTACTGTACAGAGGGGATGTGGTCCCCAAAGACGTGAATGCAGCCATCGCAGCCATGAAGTCAAGGAACTCTGTGCAGTTTGTGGATTGGTGTCCGACTGGTTTCAAGGTGGGCATCAACAACCAGCCACCCATGGTGATGCCAGGAGGGGACCTGGCCAAGATCCAGCGGGCTGTGTGTATGATGAGCAACACCACGGCTGTCGGGGAGGCCTGGGCCCGCCTGGACCACAAGTTCGACCTCATGTATGCCAAGAGGGCGTTTCTGCATTGGTACAGCAAGGAAGGCATGGAGGAAGGCGAGTTCTCAGAGGCCAGGGAAGACTTGGCCGCTCTGGAGAAGGATTATGAAGAAATGGGGCAAAGTTTCTGATGGAAATGTGGCCAAGGAGAGTAAGCGTTAAGTTGAAGTGTTTTGCTTTCTTTCAAGACGTTATGTACCCTTGGAGGGTAGGGTTCCCCCTGATTGGAAGAAACTGGAAACCTAATCAAACAAGACCCTAAGCTCAGCTCTAAATCAAATGGGTCAGTACCTTGTCTGTTGGTTCAGCCCAGCTACCTGTGGACCCCCTAGGTTTGGGGTTCTTTGAGCCTTGGATCATGTCCATGTTTCTTTCTTTCTTTCTTTCTTTCTTTCTTTCTTTCTTTCTTTCTTTCTTAGAATGGAAAGCTAGCTTTGTTCTTTGCTCCTTCAAAAAATGATGAAACCCTAAAGTCAGTGCTTTCCCATTCCCTTTCCTGTGGTGTAAAGGAGCACATGTTAATTATTAATGTTATTTCCCCCATGTCTATGTTTTGTACATTGATTAAATAATGAATATTTCAGTATCATTCTTTTCTTTCTTCCAAAGGTAGGCTTTAAAGTCTCAGTTTTTTTTTTATGCAAACAAAAAGCAAGAATATTCTTGGGTCTTTCAAAAATTTACATCTGTGTTCCTGTGGGTCAGAAGGTGAGAAGGATCTCTCAGCTCCCTGTCCTTGAAGAGATGTTTTCAAAGTGTAGCCAGCAGAACCCTGCATTGGAACCATTGGAAAGGTTTAGGAAAAAAAAATGCAGATTCTTGGGGCACCTGGCTGACTCCATGGGTAGGGTGTGTGATGCTTGGAGTTGTAGAGATTACTTAAAAATAAAAAAATTAAATAAAAAAAATGCAGATTCTTGGGGCACCTGGCTGACTCCATGGGTAGAGTGTGTGATGCTTGATCTTAGGGTTGTAGAGATTACTTAAAAATAAAAAAATTAAATTAAAAAAATGTAGATTCTTGAGGTACAGAAGCTCTGGGGATTGGAAGGGGCATGACCTAAGAATCTGAAGTTTAAAAAGCACACTTGAAGGAATTCATTTTTGAAATTAAACTATCCTACTTTCAAACAAGTTATACCTTAAAGTGGAAGAAGTAGTTATAAATGCATTAAAACCATCTTTATTATCCATGATGTTTATTTTAGTCTGACTAGTCACCAGCCTTCAGGTGAACTAGACCCTGCAAATATACTCACTTGGCCTTACGTGTTGCTCTCGAGCTGATGGTAGATATTGTCCAGGTGCCTCATTCAGCTGTGGTGTTTACCCTGCAGCCTTAGTCCTCCATCTGTACCCTCTTTGCCCAACGTGGTCAGGGTGTTGGGTTCAGGTAGATAATCTGAGGGTAATTGCACGAAACCCTTGGCTGAAGGCATCAAGTTGAGGGTCATACTGAGAGCTTTGCCAGACTGTAGTGCGACCACCTTCTTATTGCGTGGACCCTGCATGAGGACTCCACCTCTAATGGCCTCCTGGTGGATGTGCTTACGTACTAACATCACTGCCCTGGGATGTGGCTTCAAGAGTTCCATTCACATCACGTACCCTTGTGCAGCCTTCTCTTGTACCTTGTCTGCCCCTGGTGGAGATGCTCTTGGTGCCTTTCTCTGGCTCTCACTTATCTTGTCCACAACCACATTCGCTTCATGTGAGTGACTGAGAAGACGCTAAGTGTTCCTTCTCTCTGGAGTTCTATACTGAAACTTTCACCTACCTGCTATCTTCTCAGATAGCCTTGCCTGCACTTAAATTTAGCTTCTTCCAAGAAAAGGTTACTACTATACCTCCAAAGAAATCTACTCTTCCCTGAGTGCTCTGTCTTGTCTATTTCTGTCATCATTCCAGATTCTAAACAATGCTGTCATTTTTGACTGCCTTCTTTCTTTCTACCGAGCCGGGGTCTTAACAATTCTACTTCGGTGACGATTCCAGGATCCGTTCCCTTCCTTGTCTTCCTATGGAAGCCATCCTAGCTCAGGCCTGCACACTAGTGCCCAAAGGCTTTTCTGCCTTTCCCTTTGTCTTCCTGACCCGTCCAGCACACCTGTGACGAAATTCCAAAGCACAGCTTGGATTATTTTGCCCCCTTGCTCAAAGCTTTAGTGATTCCCATCTTCTTAAGTATGAAGTCTAAATCCCTGCTCATGGCGTGCAGAGCCCTGTCCCCACTAGTTCCAACTTAAATTTCCATTCCCATCCTTCCCTGTGCTGCCTGGCATTCCATCCACCCTGGGGAGCTCACTACTTCTAGCACCTGTTCTTCTCTCTCCTCTGTCTTTGCTCCTTCTTGCTTTCTTTCTTCTTTCCTTCTGTGGCTGAGTGATAGAACACTTCCTTCAAACCCAGTGCACCTGTCCCGTGAAGCTTCTTGGGTATCCATTTGCGCCCACCCCAGGATTAGAGGCATTTGGGATACACTGTGAGATCTCTCACTGCAGTGGAAATAATGTAGTAAACACTCATAGAGGGGTGCCTGGGTGGCTCAGTTGGTTAGAGCCTCTGCCTTCGGCTCAGGTCATGATCTCAGGGTCCTGAGATCGAGCCCCGCATCGGTCTCTCTGCTCAGCAGGGAGACTGGTTCCCCCTCTCTCTCTGCCTGCCTCTCTGCCTACTTGTGATCTCTGTCTGTCAAATAAATAAATAAAGTCTTTGAAAAATACTCATTAATGAATTACATATATATTTTCATGTGCATATCCTATATTGAGCTTTGAACTATTAGACTTTTACTAGTTCTATGTGCATGTGTTGTTTCTTTCTTCAGACACCAGAGGGCACGAGAGAATGCTTAAATAACCCCTCAGTTCCTATCATTGTTTTGCTATTCTGAAGGACATGTGTGTGTGTGTGTATGTGTGCATGCGTGCCTGTGTGTGTGTGAATGCACACACTCAGAAAAGACCATCCAGAGAAATGGTAGGGATGGGAGCCTGAGAAAGTGTGAGAGACGGTCCCAAGAGATAACTGCCCACAGTGGATGGTCATAGGAGGAGCAGAGTGGTCCGCTACAATATGGAAAGAGTGGCAGTTAAGGATTCGGGGTGTTTGGGGCGCCTGGGTGGCTCCGTGGGTTAAAGCCTCTGCCTTCGGCTCAGGTCATGATCCCAGGGTCCTGGGATCGAGCCCCGCATCGGGCTCTCTGCTCAGCGGGGAGCCTGCTTCCCCCTCTCTCTCTGCCTGCCTCTCTGCCTACTTGTAGTCTCTGTCTGTCAAATAAATAAATAAAACCTTAAAAAAAAAGGATTTGGAGGGTTTGTTTTCGACACAGGAAAAGTGAAGTGGGCTTGTGTGCTGCTGTGACTGGTGCGGTGGAGGGGGTAATGCTGATGACGCGGCAGAAAGGAGGAAGTGTTGTTGGGTCTGTGTCTCACAGTGGCCAAAGGCGATGGGAACTTTGGGCATGGCACGGGGCACACGAGTGGTGCGTCCAGCTGAGAGTAGAAGGCAGAGTGTGTGGATGGTGATGCCTGGGGCAGGCAAAAGTGTTGATGGGAGTTTGTGAAATTTTGCTTCAGAAGCATCTGATTTTCTTAGTGAAATGAAAAGCAAGGTCTCCAGCTGAGATGGGAACATGGGGAGGAAATATGTGAGATTTGAGGAGAGAGGAAGATGAGTGCACATCTCGGGTAGTCAGGGTAGGAGTGGAAGGATGGCAGTGTCTTTGCTGAGCTCCATGAAGGGCTTGTCGGGATTGTAAGGTGAGACTGGTGATTGTGTGCGTGCGTGTGTGGATGAGTACATGTGCATGAGTATGTGCGTACATTTTAAGTTGTGTTTAGCTTTAGGGTGTAGGGACAGAGTAGTGGGGTGAATTCATCAGGCTCTCATCAATAAGACAAAGCGAAAGCAGAACAAGAGAATTACAGGTTTCTACAGGGCTAGAGTGATAACGATCGATCACAGCATTTACACTGGCGGAGTGCAGGGCGGTTTTGGGGATCGATGAGTTATTGGGCTCAGTGGGGCTACAGGGTAGTTGGGGTTGGCTTTTGGGAAAGAGCAAGCTGGGAAGATAGGAAGGGTGGTCGGACAGCTTATGATTTAGTGACAAAGTCTGGGGTGTGGCCACACGAGTGAGTTGGAGGGACAGGGTCAGGGAGTAGAAATGAGACCCGAGTGTTGGACGGGTCATCCACAGGTGTGTTGAAATCATGAAGGCAGGAATGGTGTCAGACAGACTGATGACCTAAGAGCTAAAATGATGGGGAAACGGGGTGCACTGCCCCAGGTGTTGGTGAAGGGTCATAACGATGGGCAGGGGGTGATCATTTGATGACCTGAGGTTCAGGTGGGGAACAATGCCTTAGGGGGGAGGGGGAGGATTTTCTCCTGGGACGAAACATGCTTACCTTTAAGAAAACACTGTGTCATCCCATAGGTTTGGGGTTTCTTTCCCAAGATATTTTTTTTATGTTTTTTGCCTTCTTGGCTTATGGAGGTGTCTTAGTTATATCCACTGTGCTGTGACAGGTTCTAATGGAACGTGCTCAACCCTAGGAATAGCCGATGACAGGAACTTCATTAATGAAAGAAAAAGCTGGAACCATTATGTTGTATCCTTGAAACTAATACAATGACATAACGATGTATGTCGATTAAACCTCAATAATCTTGTTTTTAAAAGAACCAGTTGTCCTACAGCCTGTGCTTAGGTTAACATGATTACTTCCCTTTCAAGTCAGAGTGAAATTCGTCTGTAATTCTTACTAAGGTAGCTAGCTACACCATTCGGCAAGATTTTGTATTTCTTTGGCTCAATATATGGCAACTGTCTTTTTAGTTTAATACTACAGTCTTGTGAACTTATGCATCTCCCGTTTTTTTGGAATTGTATGAAATATCTGACAGAATTTTGGGTGGGCTCAGCTTTCCCTGATTATTTAGTTATAGCTCCAAAGTCATGCCACTGTCAGAAAGCAGGTCCCTTTGCTTCTTATGTGGTGGGACATTTGAGGTCACATCGTGCATCCACTGTTCTTGTCTATTGAAGGAGGTTCACTTGGCTTTTGAGCTTTGTTTTATTTTTAAAAGAGAGTTTCAATGATTTTTTTCAAGGGAGCTCAAATCAACACAAATTATCCAACAGAGATTGTGTTGGGAATTTTCACTAACGTGAACTCATTATTAGCCCCCATCGTCCTCTGTGGAGTCTAGGTTAATCATCACGCTTGGGGACTTGTGTGTTGGTCTGATAGGTGAGAAATTGTATATGAGTGCAGTTCTCAGAGGAATGAAGTTTAGCCTTCTCTTACATGTGTAAAGATCATTTGAATGTTTGTGCGAGAGAGAGAAGGAGAGAGAAATCTGTCCCTGTCCTTGCTTCTTTTCTCCTCAGTGTTGAGCAGCTATGCATTTGATTGGTAAGCCCTTGGTCTTTTGTATGAGCCACAAGCATCTTTCTAATCTGTTTTGCATCTGGGTTTTGACTTTGCCTCTGGGGGCAGTGGTAGCGTTGGCTACCCGCGTGTCGTCACTTATTGTAAAGTAATGGCAACACGTGGAGGTTCCTGTCCTGTTACTCACGACTTCTCCCCCCGCAGGAGGGAGTAGAACCACAGTCCCTCTTTGGGAATCTGGCCCTTGGGTTTTGCAGCCAGAGGCCATCCGAGTTCTTGCCGATGTCCCCTTTTACTGGACTTTCACTCATATTAAACCTTCTCATCTCTGAATCCCTCATACAATTCTTTACGCGCCATCGCTTAGCCACTGGTCGCTCATACATGGTATTTGCTGCTTTTCTGGTCTGGGTTTTGATCCTCACAGGTCCTCACTCAGTGTGCAGACTCAAGGAGAGCAGAAGACTTGCCTCACCCACCACCAGCCCCTGCCACCAGGCCCGGCATTGGCTGGGTCATCGCTGCGGGGCCAAGAAAGGGGCCCCCATGCCCAGCCGTGGTGGAGTTTGGGGCAGCACAGGGGAGTAACTGGAAGCTCCCTCCCCACCTAACCCAGTGCCCACTCTAGAGCAGACTCTCGGCTAGGCCTCCTGGGCCCGACCAGTCCATGCACATGGCTCTAACCTAAGCGATGCCTGCCAGAGTCCTGCCAGCTTGGCTTTTCCAAGCCTTTCCTTACCCCTCCTAGGACCTCCAAGAACCTCTCCACCCCGGGAGAGACCAGGAACGGACTCAGCGGCTACCTCCCTTGTCTGCCTCCACTTTTCCATGCTCAGAGACGTGAAGGCCACTGGCTGAAGGAAAAGAAACTGAAACCAGCCCAAGGGTTGCAGAAGCCATTGGTTTTAATGGGGTTGAGAGAGGGAAGGGATGGGGTCCGAAGTCAGGATGGTGAGCCGTGGATGGGGGTGGGCAGGAAGGAGTGCTTCCCGCCCTCTCCGCAGGCATGGGCCATGGAGGAAGAGGGTGGAGAGCAGGACAGCGGGATTTTGCCTCTCATAGCAGGGAAGGAGAAAGCAGATGCAGAATCTAGGGAGAGACATGAAGGGGCTCGTGTCTGTGCGGGTAGGACAGTACGCCCTTGTGTGCATGTGTGCAGAGGAGGGGGCTGGGCTGGAGGCAGGAAGGAGCAGAGGGGCCGAGCACTGAAGCAGCCTGGAGAACCGGACCCAGCCTCAAAATACAAACCGGCTGAATGCACAGCCCCTCGCCCTCCACCCCGACCTCCGTCCCTGTCCCTGGTGTGCCGCCGCCCTCCTGCTGGTCTCTGCTTCTACTTCTTACGCCCAATCTGTGCCATCAGGAGTGCGTTGGCAGCTGCCTTGGCCTGCAGGTTCTTGGCCTTGGCAATGTTGAAGAGGATGTTCATGATATTCGTGGGGACGTCAAGGGACAGCGTGAACTTGGTGCGCCGGTCACTCTTGGCCTTGTCCTGGTGCGGCCTGCCCTTGAGCTGAGCTGGGGGGAGGTATTTGTACCAGGCACTTCCCGCTCCACTGCTGCCCCCGGAGCCTGGGAGGGTCCTCTTCTTCTTGTCCTCTTCCTCCTCCTCCTTCTCCTCGTCCTCTTCTGAGGAGGGGTCTTGGCTGGGCAGGTGGGGGAAGCCTCTCTTGCTCAGTGGTGGTGCATCCTCCAGCGAGCTCCTCCTGGCCTCCGACAGGGCCGTGTTGATACAGCTGAAGAAGGACTTGGCTCTGTACAGCCTCTGGGAGAGGCCCGGCCGGGGGGCCCCTGGGAATAGCAGCAGCAACAGCAGGAGGTGGGCTGGTTTCAGCATCTCTCCCTGGGGGCGAGAACAGGGGTGTGAGAAGGGCTCAGTGCTCAGGAGGACAGGGGTTAAAACTCAAGAGGGCTTTAGTCATAGTCTACAACGGTTCTCAAAGTGGGGTCTCAGGGCCAGCAGCAGCATCGGGAAGTTGGTTAGAAATGCAAAGAATTCTCAGGTCTTGCCCCCAGAATGACTAGATCCAAAAGTCTGGGGTTTTAATCAAAATCAAAAAATCTGAGTTTTAATCAAGGCTTCAGGTGATTCTGATGGTCGGTAAAGTTTGAGCGCCATTGATCGGCTGGTATTGATGACTTCTGTTTTGTTCAGCTTTGCTGGCCGCTGCTGGCCCTGCGAGATGAATGGCGAGTGTGCCAGGGGAGCGTTCCGTGGCTTACTGGGGTTGATGACTTTTAGTTCTCTTGTCCTTAGTGCTGCTGACTCAGTGCATCCCTATTGCTTAAAGACTGCCAGTCAGTGTGTCTGAGGCAGGTCGTTAAGACCCGTCCCCCTGCTGGGCTATCAGTATTCCTCGGGAGCAAGCAGTTGTGAATTTGTTTGGTTTTACCACAGAATTCATGAAGTGAAATTCAGTCTGGTCTCTGTGTAGAGATGTTAAGTACGTCACAAAAAACACCTGTGTTCTCTAGTGTCGAAGACTGATGCGACCTCTATCCTAAAACTATCGACTGTCTCTATTATATGGAAGTTCTTGGTTATCTGTTCGACTGAGAGAGACATGGTCTGAGAGCCAATCCAGGGACGCCGGTGTCCGAGGACGTGCCGTTCCAGGAGTGGGTCAGTGCCTTCAAATGCAGGGGAGGTCGCGCTGTTGTCCGGGGCTAGCAGCGATGCTCAGAGGCATGAAAGGATGATAGTCTTTAGCGACCATTTGAATTTAGTCTTTTATTTAAAAAAAGAAAGAAAAGGAAAAACCCTAAATTTAGTGTAGGCAGCATGTGTGGCCATGACAACGGCCAGCTCGGTGTCCCTCCTGTCCCCTGGACTTCGGTTTTGAAGCCATCATGGTTGTCGGGCCACTGTGGCACTGTGCTGACCGAGCAGGGACAGGGGCTTGAGTGGGGTCATTCCCACCCCTCTGCCCTGCCTCCTTTGCAGCAACAGCTCCCCACTGACCATCTGAATTTGGGTTGGGTGTGGTCACTGGGCCTCAGGCAAATGGTGAAGTGGACAAAATTGACCTCTTGCATATTAGGACCAAACCTGCCCTGCACCACAGCCCCCGTGGTCTGTCCTGTCTGCACTTTCTCCAGCTCTGGACCAAGGACGTGAGGTTCATTGACTTCACTGTCACCCTCTATGAAGCGTGAGGAAGAAATGTGAGGTCAAAGGTATGGGATTTCATCAACTCCCCTCCCCCAGGAAGGACTACTGGCTGTGCTGGGCGCCCCGTCATGCTAACCCCCTCACCCCCTCCCAGGAGGCACAAAGAGTGAAGGGTTGCCCTTGGGCTGCTTTACCTGAACCTGGAGTTTATTTTCTGCCTGAGACATCCTTGGTTCCCACATAAGAAAGCAAGAAAGGTGTGGTTAGCTGTCGAACTTGGGGGGCCCTCCTATAAGGTGGTTTTTGAGGAAGCGAAACAAATTGGATAAAGAAATCAACATGGGGTCCTTCTGGGCATTAAGAAGGCTGGACTAGCACAGGATCCTTCTGTTTTCTGTGGTGATAGGCAGAGGTGGGGGGCGGCAGGCTGTCCGAGGCTGAGGGCTAGCCTCAGCTCTGCAGATCATCGCCAACATGACCTGGAGCAGGTCATTTCCCAGAAACAGAGAGGGAATGAACCCACGCTGCCTTCCCAGCTTCTTCAGGCTGTGAACGGATGGGGCCGGAGCTGAGCCCAAAGCACCCGAGCCCCGTTCTCTCTCTAAAGGAGAATCCTGGGAGGCCTCACGTGCCCACGGACCTGGCAGGTGTTCCTTAGAAGCCTAGGGTTTTCCTGGACACTCCACATTGTGCCTACTGCCTTCCTTTTTCTTTCCCTTAAGAAACCAGCTGGATTTGTTCGTCTGTTATTTGTTTTTACATCTTAAAAATTTTGAGTTTATTGTATCTGACAGTTATGAAAAAAATAAGCAATCCTTGCTTTATGTGCTCCAAATGCATGGCCCCCCTGGGTCTGGGCATGCAGTGTTGTGCAGAGAAATCAACACGGACTCTGGGGTTACAGGGACCCAGGTTCAAATGCTCCTCGTCCTTTGCCCAAGCCCCTTGGGCAGGGTGCTTGACCTCTGTGCCTTTCCACTTCCTCATCTGATAGATGGAGACAGCGGTAACTGCCTCATAGAGCTTACATGAAAGAAAGATGAATTCGAGGTGGAAAACGCGCTTGCTTTAGCCAGCTGCTTAATAAAGGAGGCCGCTTCCTCTCCGTTTACACACAAATCGTCTCCAGGTCCGATTAGGATAAAATTCAATTCACGTATAACCGTCTCGGAAGCCACACCTGAATCTACGTATTTTTATCTGTGTGTCTCTCTCTACATCTACATCTCGACATGCCGGTGACTTTGTTCCACTCGTTTGACCCTGCAGACCAATCCCTTTATTGTGTTGTATTTCTGGCTTTTAGGTTTTGGCCGTTCCCCACTTTCTCCATCCTCAGCCCGGCAGGCTCCCCGAGCCCTAAACTCAGTCTCAGTCAGCTGCTGTCAGCTTTTCGAGGAGCTCAGAATCACGTGGGGGCTTGTTCAAACGTGGGCTGCAGGGCGCTGTCCCGGGGGCTTCTGGGTCAGTAGGTTTGGGAAGAGGCCTGAGCTTCTGCCTCTCTAACGTGCTCCTAGAGGACAGGGACAGGGCGGGTCCGGGGAACAGCACCGTGAGAACCGCCCCTGTGAGTGTCCCCTGTCCTCCCGCGAGCTCCTTAGAATTGCACGCGGATTCCCGGAGAGCATTTGACCAGGGGCGTATCGACTATCTCTGTGGGAAAATGGACTCTTTTCTTTTAATGTCTTTTAATATTGTGTTCAATAACCAGACACTGGCTTTCTCATTTACGGAGGACCCAGCTAGTTGCTGGTTGTTTTGTGTAAACATAGGGATGAATCGTGGCTTTAGCTGCCTTACTGCATGGAGGCATCTGGAACTTTGGAGCAGTTTCCAAGGTCTTGTAAGATGGAAAGGATTTAAAGACTCAAAAATCCAGTTCCCAGAGAAAGGGTTAATGCCAGCAGGGAGGTTGTGGAGGGAGTTTAGGGTTTTCGGGCGGGAGGGAAGAAAGTCTCCTGGGCAGAGAGAAGCCCTGTGCTCCTCAGTCAAGTCTGATTTGGGAGCAAGCTTCCCCTCCTACATTCTCTGGATTCTTTCGCTGTCACCCCTAGTGAGCCGACACAAAGGTTTAGGCGGTCCCTGCTACCTGCTGTGAAAACCAGCCTCCTCCCTAGTTAGATGGAAGGGGACGGAGCTCTCCGTCTGTGCTTTTCAGGTTTGGGTACCTGAAGCTCCCCTTCTTTTGGGTTCCAGCAAGGACTTCTCTGAGTGCTTCTCAGAGCTGTCCCAGAGTCCCGCCCAAGGACCTGAGGCTGCAAGGGACCTGCGCCAGCCTGGGGCAGAGCACCCCCAGGGAGAGGGTGCCCCAAGGGGAAAGGTACCCGTGGTAAAGCCAGAGGCAAACAGTGTCAGCCCGTGCCAGCCCCGTTTTCCGGAGGTGAGGAAGGCGGGGTGAGTCCCCGTATTACAACCCCCCACCCCTGCCCCGTTTTACCCCATTGGTCTGCAAACACTGTCAAGCAGCTGAATTTAAAAACCATTTTATAAAACCGTGGCTGCCGAATCTAGAGGAGTTTTATGCATTTCAACAGGTGTTAGAGTAAGGAGCTGTTTTCTTACAGTGGACTCCTAGAAGTGTGTATGTGTGTCACACACGTCCCCACAGAAAGACTAGCAGCTCACCCTCCAAGTGAGCCTCCAAGGAGGGTTTCTGCGTGAAAGGCTGCTTTCCCTGAAGAGGGAGGAACAGCAAGGAGAAACAGACATGTTATAGAGAGTGTGTCCTGGCAGTGTTCATAGTCACCTTATTTAACCCATTCTCAGAAGTGGGGTGTGTGAGATTGCCATGTTTGAGGAGAAAATTGCAAACACGACTTCTCAGAGAACTTGGACATCAGAGACATCAAAATCCATCTTTATGTTCCCTCCCCTTCACAGGTAGCACCAAGTCATTACGGATGTCTGTCCCCTTCCTCTAATGTCCCCAACTTGGCAAGGGAGAAAGGACTCTGGGTGTTGAAGGCAGAGGACCTGGGTTTGAAACTACCCTCTCCCTGCAACTGCCCCGGGGCGAATCAATCACTGAACCTCTCCGTGGCCACAGCCCGAGAAGGAGATGTTCCCTGCCCCACAGGTGTGCAGAGAGGAAACAGTCAATCCAGGCCAGCACCCTCCGGCTCCTGGGCAGGAACATGGGGAATGACGGCTTTGTATTCACACCCACCTCCCCATTTCTTCGGAAATATACATTTGCAAGAACGAACCTGTTCTGCCTCCAGTCTATTACTTTTGTAAAGCAGGTCTCTCTGTACCAGCAAAGGGAGGATGGACTTCTACTTACCTCAAACGCACTCTGTGGGGTTCCGCACCCTGCTCCCTGGGCTGTGACTGGGGGCGCTTGCAGCCTTGGTCTCTCACCCCTGTCTGGTCCCTAGCATGTCCTGCTTAACCCAGGACCAGTACATTCATCCTTCATGGACAAGTCCCCAGCCCAAACCTTACCTGTGAGTGGCCTTCGCTCTGGAGTCGAAACACTCAGCGAGGCAGGCAGGCGGCAGCTTCAGGACCAGGAGGTCTGCCCCAGAAACATCCCCTTGAACTCCTGTCTCTGCTGGGGTCACTGCTCCTTCTCTTCTTGTATTGTTCCTAAGTGGGCCGTGATATTTCCTCTCTATGGAAACCACTCCACTCCCTCGTGTTTATATATAAAAGTGACAGATCACGGGGTGGATTGTAATTCCAGACATGGTGTCTACACTGGGATGCGATTGCGTTTAAAATACAACCGGACCAGCTGTCCGCGTCATGGAGATGACAGGCACTCTGTATCCTTGACCCCTCCCACACGCCTCCCCACTGGCCCTCCCATCGCCTCCCACTTCCCCTCCTGCCCTAGCAACTTGCTCATTGATAAAAAGAATAAAACGGTCTGTTAAATTGGGAAGCAGCTCCTTTGAAGAGTTTTATTACTGATCTTAGTTCTTCCTGATTTCAGTCTTCCTATGCCCTCAGCACTCTACCCCTCCTTTTCGGAATGGACACAGGACCTGCTTTGAAAGTGTGAAAGGTGACTTGAAGTTCACCTGTTGTCTTGTGGTTCTTGTGGGTCCTGACCTGCTGTATTATCTCCCGATACTCACAGAGCTTGGTAAGGCTGTGTTCATCAAAGGGCACATGAGGGGGCAGGCACCGTGTACCTAGAGCTTCTGATGGAAAATCAGAAATTTGAATTTTACCCATTTTTTTTCATCCATTCATTCAATATTTTTAGAGCCCCTGCTTTGTGCCTGGTATTGGCAGGGCCCTGAGGAATTCAAAGATGTTGAGAACGCTATTTTCACAGGCACCTCTCCATCCTGGAGACTCAAGACAGGTAAGGGGCACCAGGAGAGGCGAGCAGAGGTCCAGACAGAAAGGAGGTTTGACAGGGAGGGAACCAGCGAGGAGGAGGCTCAAGGTCAGGGGAGGCAGGCGGCCAGTGCTGCGGCAGGATACTGGGAGGCACCCAACACCCAGGCGAGGGGGTTTCAATTTCATTCCAAATACAATGGTGAAGATGTAGGGACGTGGAGGCAGGCAATCAAGCCCCTTGTTTCAGGATCAGGACACAGAGGACAGAGTCAGGGTGAGAATCCGGGTCTCCTGTGAGTGCAGAGCTCTTTGAACCTTGGGCTGAACCAGTTGGAAGAGCCATGCAAGACCCACACTGTGTCCAGCCTCGAGGCCAGACCACAGCTCCCCAGCCTCAATGGACATTCTCACCTCCTGAAATTCATCTAGACAAAGCACTAAGTGGACTTCTGGAACTATCCCAACGTCTTCATGCCCACAGGTACTTTGGGGGAACAAGTGGAAAGCCTTGTGGGGAAGGATGCGAGGCCTCCCAGAGTCTCAGCCTTCATTGTGGACCCGCAGGATTGGACATCACTGTGCCTTCTTCTGGAGCTGCCGGGCTGGGGTTCTCTCGGGATGACAGTCTACATGGAGCTAGAGATCTGATCCAAACTCTTTCACTCACTTGTTCACTCACTCATGTATTCATCTTTGGGAGAAATTTTCTTTTCCTCGTTTCAGATAATGAGGCAGTAATGGAATTTCTGTAGGTTGAGGGGTACCTAGTTAGAAACCTGAGTCTTTAACTCCTTCTCTGCCTTTTTTGAGCTATGGAATCCAGGGGAGGTGGTCTTGGGAAGATACCCAACATTGCTACTCTTAGAGTGGGGGTTCTCAGCCTTGGCTCTATTGACATTTAGAGCTGGATGATGTTATGGGGGGCTGTTCTGAGCATCGTAGGGGGTCAGCAGCATCATCCTTTTCCTTTCCTTATGACATTCCAGAACACACCCTCCCTTGCGCAGCTGTGACAACCAAAACGGTCTCCAGCTATGTCCCCCGGGGACAAAACTGCCCCAGTTGAGAACGACTGCCTTAGAAGATGAGATTTAGAAAGAGAGATCATAATCACTGGCTTCTCTTTTTGCTTTTCTGCCCTGTCTCCTCCCAACTTCCTACAAAATCTCTCTACCTGAGTCTGAAGGACCACAGGACCATGGAGCCTCTCTATGTCAGGGGCTAGTGGCTGTCTTTGAGCGCACCGTCCCTTCTGCAGACAGAGGAGGGTTCATGAGTCCCCACCTGGCCATCTGGGTTGGTCTTGGGATTGGCCCATGGCTCCCAGGAGCTCTTGGCCTGGGAGGAGGAGGGTCCCACGTGGGGTCTGCCCAGCCCTGGTCCTCAAGGTGCTTTTCTTAGGGATTAAAACCACAAGAGCATTGTGTTTGCTTTACAACTGCACAGCTGCTTCCGGCTGCATCTGATGGAGGTCTGGGGCGAGCAGTGGACAGAAGGAAGCCGACTAGTGAGCAGAAGGATCCAGGGTGTCCTTCCTGGCAAACGGCGGTCTCCCTTCTGTCCCTCTGCTGCCGCACAGGGGCTGTGTGTTATGCTTGTGCTGCTCTCCGGCCCTGGCGAGGTATTGGCCTCTTCCGTGGATTCAGCACCAGGATGTCGGATAGGGATGTAGGGTGTATGTGGAACACACTGGACAGCTTCACGCGCAAACAGAACTGGCTCACGTTTACAACACTCGCGTCTCTGAAGGCTCAGAGCAGTTCCATGTAGTAATACAATTAGTTTCTCAACTTCTGAGCCCGGCAGCCAAAGAAAAAGGCAGAGAAAGGACTCGGAATTGGGAGAACTCTTGCTTTACAGGGAGGGGATTTCCCCCGTGGAGATCTGTTTGGGCTGTTTGCATTCTCTGCTCTTCCGATTCCCCTCTGATGAAATGTGGATTCGTGAGCCTTCCCTGTTTTTCTAACAAGGTTGGTGTCAAGATGGCATTTGTAAGGACTTGATGCAGTCTTACACGGACGCACAACAGTATGGTGAGCCTTACTGTCCAGTCCTCCCCTCACTTTCCCTGATTCTCAGCTAACCTGACTCCTCCGTGTCTGACAGGTGTGTGTGTGTGTGTTAATGTTCCACTCTGTTTGCGGGTCTCTCCATTTTTTGCTCTTTTGGGATACGTTCTGTACGTGCAAATGTCTGTTTCATCAGATGACTTTTGACCCCTTCAAGCCAAATAATGTTGTTTGTCTTGAAGTCTGCTTTGCTTGACTTCCAAATGGCTGTTCCAGTTTTCTATTGGGTAACACTTGCTTGGTGCACTTTTCCAGTCTTTTCTGCATCAACATTTATTTTGTCAATGGTACACATTTAGATTTTAAAACCTGATCTCATAACCTGTATTTTAACAGGGCTGTTAACACGCTTGTACAAATAGTGGTTAAGGATGTATTGGGATTATTTTCTGCTGTCTTACATTGTACTTTCTATTTGCCTGGGGTTTTTCCTCATCTGTGTTCTGCTGGATTAATGCTTCATTTTCATTTGCCCTTCTGTTAGTTTATAATATAAGCATGCAAAGCCACCATGTTTCCCTGGAGCCCTGATTTCCCTGCATCCCAGAAAAAATGAAGAGCCCGCTCTTAACCTGGTAAAATCGTTCTATCTGTTGGGGAGGGCAGATGGGCTTTGACCTGTTTCTTGCAACAAGCTGGATGGATTTAATTGCTAATAGTGAGTACTTCTGCAATACTAGCAGGCCCGTTATGCCGTGGTCACGTCCAGTCCTCGCTAGGAGCGGTCGGCAACACCCCTCCGTGGATCTGTGACACACTCTTTTCACTGGACTTTGTATCCATCTTGCAACCAGCAGCAGTGGGAGCAGGTGGGGAGAGTTCTGGCTCATCTCCATATCTAGGCGCCGTGGTGATGTGTCAGACACTTTATGGCCCTCTCTAATGGAGTTTGGGTAGCTGACTGATTCATGCAGCAAATCTCCTGGGGGCCAGGGCCATGGGGAACAAAGACTCGAAAGCTTTCTCTTCCTCTAAGAAAGGGCTGATGTGCACCTTCTCGGATGGCCTTGTATGCCTGTTCCACTGCGATCTTCCCAAACTTGGGGGGCTATTTACATGGTGGGCACACTAAGGAATCAATAGCACCCGATCCACGGAGGGGATAGACGTTTTCTCTAGTGACAAAGGAAATAAGAACTCTCTGAAACATGACCCAAAGGCAGGGGAATGGACAGCACGCTCCTCCACATCTGTGTGGAAGCACGGCCCGCAGGGATGGTGGCCAAGCAGACGCCATTCCTCCAAGAGCGGTAAATGCACCTGTCCCCCTTCTTCCCTTCCAGCCGCCCTGCTGACTAGACGCACTTCAGAGCCCGTCTGCACGCCTGCAGGTTCATCAGGTACAAAGCTCCGTCAATGATCTCATCATCAATGAGAAAGAAAACCCAGCATATTCCTGTCTGCTGGGAATTCTGATCTGTTTCCCTGGGCGAGGGTGTGCTCTGTCGCCGGCCGTGGTTAATACTGGACTCGGAGCTGACGGCGCTGATGGTGCCAAGCCTTGCCTGACTGTGGCTTCATCTAACACATATCTTCCCTGTAGGGCACGTGGCAGGTCTTCTGCTCTTAGGACCACCTGACGATACGCGCCGTTTTAAACAGCAAAATCAACAACAAAAAGCACACATGTGCTTACATGCAGCAGTAAATATGTTGCAAAAAGGGCATGACTTTGCAGCAGGGGAGCTGAAAGCAGGAGGTAGCGTCACCTTGCTCAACCTGAGATAGGAACGTGTGCATTGGGGGACTCAAACCTTTCACTCCTCTGCCCAGGCACATGTGCCTGAATGACCCCGAAAGGCCCACGGGTTACAAGTAAGTTGTAGTAAGTAAGTGGTTTATTTTTTAACATGTTATTTATTTGAGAGAGAGAGAACACACAAGTAAGGAGAGGGCCAGAGGGAGAGAAAGAAGCAGCCTCAATGCCAGGACCCTGGGATCCTGACCTGAGCCGAAGGCAGGTGCTTAACTGACTGAGCCAGGCCCCCCAAGTAAGTGTTCTGTCTTCTTTTATAAGCTGGTCGGTCAGGTGCAGTTGTAGGAGGAGATGCAGGAAGGACTCAGGAAAGCAAAGTTTATTATACTCAAAGGTCCTGCAGATAGGAGGCACGGCCACCATACAAGGCCACATGGAGAAGCAGCAGGGAAGTCAGGAGGCAGGAAGCTGGAGCAAGGAAAATGCTTAGCCATGGCCTTTTTTGGGTTTTCTGCAGAAAAGGAAAGACAAGATAGTGAACAGCTCAGCAGGCTCTGGGCTGTAGGCGCGTCTCGATCACTTGGCCCCCAGCCCTGGGGTGATGAAAGCAGAGGGACGTTGCCTCCTGTGGTGCACAGACCCCATGGAGAGGCCTGGCTCTGGACTGGGTAGTTT